AACAGTTCTTAACGATACAAGTTCCTAGCGACCAAACTGCTAGCGTTAAAGTTTCCGCGCGTCCCAGTATCGCGATGTCTCGTGAAAATGGAAACGGTCGGTAGTTCGGCACGTGCCCGGCCACTGGACGTATTTCCCATAGGTGTTTTCAATCTAGAAGATGGATAAGCTTCCTTGGAATATCGACATCCTCGGATTTGCTGAGCGCGTTCGATAGCGCTATCTAAAAGCACGTGCTGTAGATATAACACGAACAGGTCGTGAACGAACTAAGGATAAAAAAGATTCGAAAATTTCGAAAATCTGCTTATAAAAACATCTTTGTAACTCGCACGATGTTATCTATCCCTTACGCGTCCGCGTTTCCTCCCTGTTTTTTCCGTCTTCCCTTTGTCTTTCACCGCCTTGTCGGCCTCGTGAGACCGAACATCTTGCCTTAACGTTGCTGAAAGATCAGAACTCGAGCGAATGATGTCGGTGACAGACGGGCCGAGACAACTCTCACGGGAGGCTGAACGAACGAAAGAGAAAAAAGTCGACGACTGGTAGAAAAGGTTGAGCAGGGAAAAAGGTGCAGGACGAAGCGGTTCGCCACAAAGTCATTTTTCTCGTTCTGCATGAGCCGGTGAATGGAACGGAAACCCTTGAAATTGGAAGGAAGAGAACGCTTCTGGATCAACGAAGACGTTCGCCTACTTCGAACGGTTACGTATGTACAAAGAAGATATCCGATCGATCGAATCGCTACCCCGAGATTTAAACCTCGATCTTTTTCGTCGCGATTCCTTACCATCGTTCCCAACGAAATTATCAACGCGTTGTACAATTAATACAGAATCTTTCTGCGTATCCTCCTGACGAGCAAGCAGCACTTGCCGCGATACAAGAAATTATCAAGGAACTCGAGGCCAGAAATCGCAAGAACAAGCATCGTTTCTTGAGCAACGGTTGCGACCTAAGAAATAAAACTGGTTGAAACTAAGTTGGTAAGGCAAAGAATTAAAAGTGTTATCGCAACGCGAACGCGGCTGTAGAATGATCAGCGGAGCGTGAGGCGTGACGACGGTACACCTTTTCGCGTACGTATGCATATATACCGGGTGTTGCGAAAGGGCTCGCCATAATTTACAGAGCTCGAGCAAACACTCGTTTAAACTCCAACACGCCTTGACCATTATCCCGCGTTTAGAAGGCAGGTTAGGTGGTGAAGAGTGGGAAGCGGAGAAAGACGAAAGAGATTCTGCGAGAAGGGAGGAGAAAACGAGAGAAGAGAAGAGGCGAGAAGAGGTACAAGGACGACCAACTGGTTTACAATGCGACAGGAGAATCTAACGACGAAGTGTAATGGGATTTCAGCTTATCTCGTGGACTTGCGAGTTTTCCCCGTGCGACAGCCACGGGAGAACAAGTAACATGCTAAGAGATAGAGAGGGTTACTTGATGCGTGACACCACATTAATTACCGGTACCTCTCAAGAACCAATTTCGAGGCACATCCCTTACTTTCGATCCTTCTCCCTTTATGCTCTCGTTATTAAGATACATTCTTGTTATATTGCCGTGGATTGCGGCAAAACAGTTCTTAGAATCGACGTTATAGAAGAACTGCATGAATCCTGGTACCCTACGATGCGATGGCGGTAAAGCACGACGTAACGCGTGACCATACGTATTTTTCTTCCTTTTCGTTCCCTCTTTTCTTTTCTCGCTAGAAAACTCCTCTGATTCTCTCTCGTGTAACCTGGTTCGCTATGTTGAAAATTTCAAACACGCCTCCACGCTTGCCACTTTCGACGTGGATAAGAAAGACTGGCAGAAACGAGATCCCAAGAGTTGTTTTCGATTAATAACTCACTGCACGGAGGTACACGAATTTCCGTGTCTCCGTTTATCGCACAATTTAAAGGATAGACCGAACAGAAGCGCTGCGGAAGGGGCGTCGAAAGTGCTGTTATCCTGTTTAAAATTAGCGAACGATACGTGTTAAATATTTCAGCTGGAAGATGAAAGAAGAAAAGTTACAGCATACCTTAATAAACGACGTTGCAAAGCATTCTTGCTGCAGCTTAAAACAGATGTACCGAGGTACAAGGCATAAAGCGTAAAATACTTTGCTACGCCTTCGGAGAAGATCCTCTACCCGGAACGCGTGCACACATACCGAAGAAGAGCAAGCTTTTAACCAGATGCATAATGCATATTTCACGAGGAAACAGTGGCAGCGCGAGGGAGAACTTTTATCAACGGACGAATAGCGACTTGATTCTTTACTAAACGATGGGAGATCAATTTCGGTTCGTTAACGCTTTACGATACGCGTATCGATTCCATCGATCAATGGTCATCGGAAGTAGCAACAAGTCCGCGATGAGATAGAAATTTCTCTCATGATTCAGCCTCTCAACCTAATCAAATTCAACTCTCCACGTATCGACGGTTAAATTAGCAGTCTTATTAATTAATTAACTCCCGTACTAGCACCGTTTTATTTTCTCATTTATCAGGCTTAACTCTATTAAATCGTCCTGGTGTCCCCTTCGTTCGCTGAAAATATTCTGCCATAAATTTCGGCCGGTATACTAGTCTAGAATCTTGGCATTAACACTTCGAGCAGCTAAACAGCGGTGCGGAGTGAGAGAGATACCCAGAGGATGGTGCAACGCATTTCAATGCACCTCGTTGGAGAACATATTCCTCGACAGATGCATCCCTTATGTGTAACATGCCGCGGGTGTTTCGGTGAGCTTATACGAAACGATCGTGCAAGCGCATACATACCCACGTACACGCGTGTACAATTTTATATTACGGACGAAGGTTTATTCGAACTTAACGTTGACATTGAAATTTAACACTGAATTCCTTTCCGGCATATTAAAATAGTAACGAAGGACCGTTCTCACTGGAAAAATCGTCGACGGTTTATTTATTTGGTGAAAGAATAAAACACCTTTTATTCGAGTACAACACCTTTTGTTTTCGCAAAGAATAAAACATTACTGTCACGTTAAAAAATTTGTATCGATTCCGTGGAAATGATTAGAAAAAGCCTTTTCTCACGGCCATTAAACGCGCTGTGCAAAGTAGAGTCTCGAGGTGGAAAGTGGCACTACAGCTTTCGGCTGGTTCGCGACGAACGAACCCGGAAAAACAGTCACGTTTATCATCGTGGCTAGCGCATCAGGGATGAACCTAGAAAGATATAAACGCAAGAAGACGGCTCGCGTGTAAGGATAAAGTGCTCTAATGCACGGACATGTAATGTAATGTAATGGCTCGTTTCTGTCGCCGAGAAAAATGGCATCGGTCGAGAAAGCTGGTTCTAGCGTTAACGAATTCTCGTAAATACACCGACTGTTTCGGCTGGTTCGAATCGAACGACGAAACGTAAACGAACATTTTTACCCCCGGGAAAAATAGAAAGGTTTTCGATGTTACGCATTGAATCGTGTTTGCTTGTACGTTTTTACACCCGATTCAAGATACAATACCGTTCGTAACTTTATACGGATATGGCATTGAAAAATGGGGCAATAGCGACAAAAATGTTCTCGAAGTTATTTATGTTTTATGGATCGCCAAGAATCTTCAAACAAAATAGTTGCAACAATAATTTTATCAAACGGTGTAGAGTATTTCGAATGAAATGGATCGTGACAAAGTTTCGTTGAAATTTCGAAACAACGCGGCTCTTTGTTCCGTCGTTGGGCAGAGAAGTATTTAAAAATAAAGCAGAGAAATATCCGTCACCACGGGGGCGTAAATATTTGATTTTACTAGTCTTCCAGCCAACCTGCGGGTCTAATTAATATTAAAAAAATACTTGAGGGTAAAATATGAAATGCATTAGTAGACGCGTGCACCCGTACGTAAGAGAAGAGGCCAGTTACCCCTGTCCATGCCACTCGAAAGTGGTTCCCTTGTGCACTCGGTAGTGCTTCGCGACAACGAAACCCGGAAAAATAATCCCATTTATCGTTATACACGCTGACTAAAAAGAGTACGCAAACAACAAACTGACACGAAGACAAATTACTTCGAAATCAATTAAGGAAAACCTTTCTTCCTTCTATCTCTCTGTTCCGGATCCACTTTCAAAAATTCCACGGCATATCGAGTTACGCTTTCAATTTCTGATCAAATAAATCCGAGCATGTTAGCTGACACGGTCTCCTCATCGCCTACAAAATTACCTGTGCCATTCGATGCAACGAAATTTCATTCGATTAAACTTGTCTTCCGCAAAATTTTCTTTATTACCTCGGAGACTAAGTGAATTTATTTTCAATTACGATAACAATCGAGATAACGCAAAGCACCGTTCAAATTGTTAACATCGATCAATCAGCGTGCTGATTTAAACAAGCAGGTAATAGCAGAAAAATAAGGAAGCACTTCAGCTGGGAAACCTTTTGAATACCATTCCATCTAGGCGAAAATGAAGCACGAACTTCCTTCCATCCCCTCTAACGTTCCATCGTTAGCTAAATTAGAAAACTGAGAAGGGATTTCTCTCGGGTTGCTCAACGAAGGGGTGGTAACTTCCCTGCGACCAGGCAAGTGGTGGTCTTCCACGTAACCGAATACTTTAATACAATAACTGATACAGGAACCGCCAATGACCATCGTAATCGATTAATTAAAAAAGGGAATTAAGAAGAAAATTGTTACTGCGCTATTACGCCAAATGCGCTAACAGGGTATATACGATTACCAACGCGCAAAGATTTTCCGCCCCAATAATCAGTAAATGAAAATGTCAAATAGAAAAGGGTGAAAAAAATTAAATGTGAAAAACAAACCGAAAAATACGCGTCGAAAGGGCGTTGGTGAAGGCGGAGGGAATCGTGCAGAACCCTGATGTACATTAGTGTGTGCCTGTTTTTCTAGCCTCGAGTGCAACGAACAGAACCTGCGCCCTGGGGGTTGTCCGGCAACGCGCAACCACCCTCGAACAGCTCGGTGCATGCGCAATGGGGTATTGATCCTGGGGAATCTGAGATGCACGTAACATCATCCAGTGGTCCATTGGCTGTACACAATGTCATTGCTGTTCTAACGCTCGTCCGGTATCATTGGAACGAGAAAGTGATGCGAGTCGCGTCGATTACACGTCGCGTCGGTTCTGCTCGGTTGGCGCAGCGTCGCGCTGATTCGAAAGAGCCGCGTTCAAAGATTATGATATCCGCGCGAGATCGAACGTGTTAGGAATCGTACATCTTCAGGGACCCTGAAGAGAACCGATCGCAAGTATGTAATTTTATTTTTAAGTTATTCGTAAACGTTGATCCGAAAAGCACGCTTTGTTGACGCGTTCATTGCCATAGTACGTTTGGAAAGTTCGTAAAATTCGTTCGAGTTGAATGGACTACGTTTTAGTAAAATACGAGGCTAGTTATTCAATAAATTCGATGTAAATGTAAAAATATATAATTGGTCAAATTGAATTGTATCAACGAACGACTGAATTTATCCGACCGCGAGTTCGCAAATAGAGGGATATTTTCAACATCGAAATACTAAATTAAAACTTTGGAATTAAAAGTGAGTTGATCATGTGTTGTACTATTTCTGCTGTGCCAGTTCACGCGTATAATCATTGTTGAATTAGAAATAAAGAAAATTTGCAGTCCGCAGTACTATTCGAATGTTGAAACGAAGAGCTATAGTGTTTACATAGGTTGACAGAAATTTTTTTAACCGACTGTACGGAAGACATGACCCGGTGCAGATCGATCAGCTTTATAGATTTTCTTTTGCACTTTGGAGAATGAATAGGAAAATCAATTCGCATTGTTCTATGGATTATCCGTTAAATTAATTCTCTCGAAAATCTACTCATTTATCTTACAATTTTAATTGGATCGATTAACCACTTATGAACCTTAATGAATAATAAAATTTGAGTGACAAATTCGATATGAAGAGAATTACAGTTTACGCAACAGGTTCATTATTCTTCGAACAGCAACCTAACACAAAACCACCGCTGAACTACGAACAGGCATTGACTTAATTTTCTCTAATTCATGAAGTCGAATGAAGAATAAATTATCGAATTAATTAACAAAGTGTATAAAAGAAGTTGAAAGTTTTATGCAATATACAGGATGTCAATTGGACTGGAATAACTCTACACGGTGTTTGCTCAATATGATACTTCAAGCAGTCATCTTGATCCTCTCGGCAAGAACATGCTACAGTAATCCTGATGCAAAGAGGCTGTACGACGACTTGTTATCGAATTACAACCGACTGATTCGGCCAGTCTCTAATAATACCGACACCGTGGTCGTCAAGCTAGGACTTCGTCTTTCTCAGCTGATAGATCTCGTACGCGATACCTTTAATTTCCTATTTTCTCAAGTACTCGATATAGTTAAGTAAGCGAACTTCAATTAAAAATTACAGAATTTGAAGGATCAAATCCTTACGACGAATGTCTGGCTGGAACACGTAAGTCTAAAATAACGTAACGGGTTTTTCGTCGATGTACAGGACATGTTTAATAGAACCGAATCTTGTCTCAGGAATGGCAGGATCACAAGTTTCAATGGGATCCAGCTGAATACGGCGGAGTCACCGAACTCTATGTACCTAGCGAGCACATATGGCTTCCGGACATTGTCCTCTACAACAAGTATGCACGAAAGTTCTTGGAATCGTACTCTACGAAGTTAATAATTCTAACAATATCGCAATCGACAGTGCGGACGGAGAGTATGGGGTGACTACGATGACAAAAGCTATCCTGCATTACACTGGCAAAGTCCTCTGGACACCTCCAGCGATTTTCAAGTCTTCCTGCGAAATAGACGTCCGCTACTTTCCATTCGATCAACAAACTTGCTTCATGAAGTTCGGTTCGTGGACTTACGATGGTTTCCAGGTAAAAATAATTGTCAAAATTGTAACTAGTATCAAACACGAAATATGACCCTTGTTTGCTCACGACAGATCGACTTGAAGCACATTAATCAGAACATGGGAGACAAAGTGGAAGTGGGCATCGATCTTCGCGAATACTACCCTAGTGTAGAATGGGACATCTTAGGGGTTCCAGCGGAACGACACAAGAAATATTATCCCTGCTGCCACGAACCGTATCCGGACATCTTTTTCAACATCACGTTACGTAGAAAAACATTATTCTATACGGTGAATCTGATCGTGCCCTGCGTGAGCATTTCCTACCTGTCGGTGTTGGCTTTTTATCTGCCAGCCGACTCGGGAGAGAAAATTGCTTTGTGTATCAACATTTTACTGTCCCAAACCATGTTTTTCCTCCTAATATCCGAGATTATACCATCTACGTCGTTGGCGCTGCCGTTGTTGGGCAAGTACTTGCTGTTCACGATGATTCTAGTAGGTTTATCGGTAGTGATAACCATCGTTATACTGAACGTACACTATCGTAAGCCAAGCACTCATAAGATGGCACCGTGGGTCAGAAAGATATTCATCAGAAGATTACCAAAGTTGCTGTTCATGAGAGTACCTGACGATCTATTGAACGACCTCGCTGCACACAAAATCTATGGAAGAGGAGGATCCAGTAAGAAGAGCAAATTCAACGCCGCAGTTGCTGCCGCGGTGCAATCTTCTTCCATAGTGTCCTCTCCGGATTCTGCTCGGCATCAGCGAATCGGTGGTACGTATTAATAGATGAAATTGTTTTTGCAGCAAATAAACCGATAGCGCCTGATTCAGGTTGCAACGGATTGCACACAACGACGGCGCATCACAGATTCCTGGGAGGTATCGGTGGATACAACGGACTTCCTACAGTGATGTCTGGCCTGGATGAATCTCTGAGCGACGTAACACCCAAGAAGAAGTATCCTTTCGAACTTGAGAAGGCTTTACACAACGTGATGTTTATTCAGCATCACATACAACGACAGGACGAATTTAACGCGGTAAGAATTTAATACGAAAATCATATTCACGATCAAAATTTGTTTCGTTTTCGTTCCACAACAGGAAGATCAAGATTGGGGTTTCGTCGCCATGGTACTGGATCGTCTTTTTCTTTGGATCTTTTCGATCGCCTCCATCGTGGGCACGATTATCATCCTCAGCGAAGCTCCGGCACTTTACGACGACACGAAACCGATCGACATGGAGTATTCGTCCGTGGCTCAACAACAATTTCTTCCTCACGATGACTTGTTAGAAACTCTTGTGTAGAATCGTCGAGACGAATCGTGAAAGAGTAGAGAAACTGAGGTGTTGATTTTCCATACTTCAAGTTTGTCACAGTGCCAACGCGTTGCGTCGAACGAATTGTTTATTTTTCTTTTTCTACCGATCGCTGAATAGAATTTACCACGTTCGTTTGAATAGATCAACGCCTCTGGCTTCTTCTTGCCATTTTATCACGAGATATACAATTGTCGATAGCATTTCGTATTTAAAAATGTACATTTCATTTGTATTTGTCGTTATACTGTATGCACACGACGAACAAGTGCTCTTGAATAACAATAAATGTTATTGTCATACAGCTAAGAGGACAGAACATCGCAATATTACTCTTAGAGATTTTGTAACATTGTTACGTAGAATGTTTACGAATGATCGTCAACATCTAATCGTATATATCGACGAACCGTTTTATGCTCGAGTTATCATCTCAAAGAATGACCGAAAATATTGTTAACGTAGTATACGTAATTTTTCAACTATTAAAGCATAATCGATCTTTTTCATTACACTCGAGACATGTACTCGAAATTGTTCGATACCTTCTATGCTTATCAAAGTGAAATAAACTGCCAGTTTATTGGCAACAGCCTGTTTCATTTTTAATACCATCGATCACTGATTCCTAATATAAGAAGGTCCTTAATGTTCCTGATACCAGGGATAAACCAGAAAGATATCCACAAAATTATTTTTATTCGAATTTTCCTTTACATAAGAGACGTCAGTTAAACATTTAATCAATATATCCAATATAAATAACTTGAACAAAGTCCTATATATCATTCGAGCACGAAATGTAAATGAGATAAACCATGCTTCTTCGCAATATAATTCGGATGCTGTTCGTCAATCTCGCAAAACCTTTATACGGTTCACGTAAAAATACCTCCCCTGTACTAGTGTCTATACACACACACATATATATATATATTTAATTATGCAGGAATATGTTTCACTGAAAGTCCCGGAAGCACCAATAAAATACAAAAATAAATACAAATGCAAACATTATTGTAAACAGGAGACGGGACAATTTTTTATTCCACGTACACAGTCACTCTTTCTTCTCTTCTTTTATCAATGGAATGCACATCGGAAGAAGCAAGAGACAACAATGTAAGAAAAAAAGAGAAGAAAAACTGTTTCTTTCCTTCTTTCGCGTTTCGAACAAACTTTTTATCTCCTTGTTTCTCCCGAGAAAAGTCTAAGGCGACGGAATATGAGAAATGCAAACGAGAACAACGCCGTTCTCGAGTTCAATGCTGGAAAATACTTCTACAAGAGTATCTTATCTCACTCGTTGCCTGCATACTCGATGCACTCATACACTCACTCATTTTACATACCATGGAATATATAATAATTCTATCACACATTATAGGTGATATTCGCGTCACCTCGCGAGAAATAAGCGTCATACATAGTGTGTCCGATACGATTCTACAATAATCTCGATCGAATCGTTCTTCCTCTTAACTTAATACGCGAACAAGCAGGGAAATATATTCTAAAACCCTCCTCCCGTCTTGATAACACGTTACACTGTATCTGGTTACATAAAACGGATTGTAACAAAGTATAAAGTACGCAGATTCCATTCAACCTTTACATGTGCCGATGTAACTTTTGCATTTCGGACAAAAATGATGAACGTTCATGAAGCTGCTGATGCAATACGGCAGGCACGAGCACAGACAGCATCTGAAATTGAAACGTTATCGATGAAAAGAAAAGCGCAAGACTTTAAATTCCTTAAACCCCCTTAAAATAAAAGTAAAAATTACCCAAGTAAACAGAGTACGATGCAACATAGGTGGGCACTCGGTTTGTGATCTTGTATCGTGGTGGTCTTAATGTTGGCGTGGCACGTTGGACATGTCATTTTTATCGGATTCGGACTCAATTCATAAATCACGGGTTGATAGGTGACCCGGACTTCGGGCGCTGGCGCCGGGTTTGGATTTGCATTATATTGCGGCACCGGCACTGGCACTGGCACCGGTACCGGTACTGGCTGCGGTTGTGGTTGCGCTGGAGATTCGCTGGGAACTGAACAATTCGACGGATATAATGAAATTGTGGACCAAGTTCGATGATTTATGCGTTCGAAAATGAACAAAGGGATGCTTACGTGCTGGTGTTGGCATAGATGACGGTCCTACTGGATATGGCGCGATGTTTGGTTGACGAGATACCTGATTCCAAGAACCAACAGCCTCTTCGTACGAAGGAGGTGCGGAAGGCGGAGGAGGCGCTGAAGGTGTGAAGACCACGTTTTTCTCCATCTCTCCTGAAATTATTGAGCAACAATAGTTGAAATTTTTGGCACAAATAAAATTTGGTTTGACAAATAATTTATTCGAAGTTGAGGCAAATATTTTATCCGCGTGTTCAAGCCAAAAATTTTACGCGATAGTATCCTACTATACGCAAATTGCACGAGCTAGTAAATCCAGCTCAAGGGAACAACATATTCGTATTAAGATTCTTCGCGATATGTACTAATAGATTACAACCCGCTATCTAGATAGTTCAAAGTTTCTAAATGAAATTAAATCGAACAAGGATGCAATAGCGTTTGAACAAAAAAGTGTACGAACGAACGAGCGCGAAAGTGTGTGAATAGAAAGTTGAACGGATGTTAAGTAAGAGAAGCAACCGCGATGTGTACACGCTCACAGAGCTGTATCTAGAAAAATTAAAGCCCTGAGTATCCACTCGTTTTGTTTGTTCCACTTGATTATAATCAAATCATGTACTCGACTAACTCGACTGAAAGCTTAATTTAATCTGAACATGGGAACTTGCACGAATCATCATCGACGATTACTCACGACTTTATCTAACCAGCGTATACAAACGAAAAATCGTTATAGTATAATTATTTGTACATAATTAATTGTACACCGTGAATTAAAATTAACATTAGATCGTTAATTTTTCGGTAATAAACATGTGATAATTATTGTACTCTATCGGGAAGTACATAGTTTAATACTAGCGTTATCTGTTGTTGATTCTTTTTTCATTGGCAAAAATAAATGACGCATAACTTGCGAAATAAAAAATCACTGACTTTGCTATGACTAAAAGTTCAAACAATGTATAATAACAAAGTATTCTTTATTTTTTCTTTAGCCCAATTTTTTGTGAAAATGTACAATATAGAATTTTTATAAAACAGGTTATTTGTAAGTAAGAGAATTATTCTATTAATAGAACGTGTATATTTTTGCTAGTTAACCTCCCATTCAGTAAAGTATGTAACAGTTTGATTACATAAGTACTTAAATATGCAAAACAAGGAGCTGAAACAGGAACCGAATATTATTTCTTTTAATTTAGATGTCTGAGTATACACATGACGTAAAATTTGACGCATCGATGTAACGCTCCTTTCACAATCATGACAAGGTTACTTTAATCGCGATTGCGGCATGCATACATACAAATATGCAATCACCGAGAGATTGATCACCAACAAAAAGTTTAATGAAACATAATGTATCGAGATACTTACTAAAATGAAAAGTTTAAAAGTTTGGAATAACTTAGACGTCCCCGATAGCAGAGAGGTTATAGTTTAACGCCAAGAAGTACCAATAGATTATGTGCACGGTGAAAGTACTATAATACATATCTCACTGCACAGTGTTTAATCATTTTGTAATGTCGCGTTGTACTATGTATCTCGTATTTACACCAAAAACGAAGAAAAACACGCGACACTTTGAAGGAAACCGTCACGTTACTACTGTTGAAGCGATTGACTAGATTTTGTTACAGTTTTCCCTAGCGGCCAATCACAGCATAATATTTGTTCCATAATTCCTGTAATACTCACTAGATAACGCTAGTGATACAGTTTTAGAGTTGACATCAAGTAAAAATAAAGACTAATTCGATATTTCTATCTTATTAAATTGAATATGTTACGATAATATTATATTCTCCCTTTTTGCAAATTAAATAATCGTAATACAGATTTTATTGAGCGAAGCTCTTATACTTGACTTTGCAACTTCTTTGTCCGCGTTTTTCTTTTGTACCATTCAACCAATTTTCATCATATTTTGCATGCACATGCGTATGTACATCCAGATGGACATAGAAAAAAGAAATTTTAATCTGACATGCCACGAACGAATAATCACAGAAAAAACTGATCCTAAGAAGTGAGGGTTCGAACACGCATATAAGGAAAATAAAAAAATGAATATTTCGGCACTTTGACGACGTAGTATGGTACCTGAGGCATTTGGAAACAAATTTCTATTAGGGTTTGATGCGTTTTGATGCCTAATAAAGCCAGGAAATCAATTTTTGTCGAATTCGGTCGAAAACGGTACAGGTGGCGCCATCTAGCGGCGAGCGGCGGAACTAC